CGAGCTTCACAACCCTGACCGTCGCGGTGCAGGTACACAAGAAGTCAGTCCAAAAATAAAAAAAAATATTTTAGTTAAATTTTAAGTAGTGGCAAAGATCACCAAGGAAACCCCCAAATCCCTTCTCACACATGAATGTCAACACAATATTACCTTGTGTTGCCTGGTGATGTTTTTCAAATGTACTCGGTTTATTTTTTTAAAAGGCCCTGCAGAGGTCACATGCCCTAGGCTTCCAAGGTACTTTATACGTTGCCACTGGGTGTTAGCAGCCATAGTCTATTCTTCGGACGCTGTCCTGCACTGCTCTTACGTAAACCGGGCATTCCCAAATGTTGGTGCTGTGACCTGTGCTGTCCTTCCCAACCTTTTCACATGTGGCACATGGGTACTGGATCTGGTCATCCTTTACCAGGCATTCCCTCATGTCATAAACAATGACCACACCTGGCAATCTCCCTACAGTACTTAGAAACGTGTCTGTAGCCCTGACACTTGTAAACAACGAGATTGTCCGCGTAGTCACCCCCCCGCAACTACTCCATTCAATGCAGACTCTGTCTCTTCTAAAAAGTCAATTCCTAACGGCAGAGCATTCTATCACCCAGAGCATCCTTTTCCTTACCTTTTATTTATGGCCTTCACATGATTGAAATTATTGTCAAAAACAATTCTCTCCGGTCGTCCATCCAGGTTCTGCTCAAACAAATAGTTCTCAGCCTCGTTGTCATTCAATTCAGCTGCCAAGTCACAAATCATAATCTTGGGGGCCATGGGACATAATCCCATAATCTTCCTGGCGTCATCTGTGCTTTCCGTGACCAGTAGAACCCCCCTGCCTAATTTCCTTGACATTCCTGATGTGCAGCGACTCAGCTCCAGGCTTGACACATTCCTTAATGATTGTCCTGGTGAAGTTGGCCTCCATTGTAGGGGCACCGTTGCCGCTTCTCAGGGTATTGGAACATTGCAGGCTGCTGAAACTAGATCGAGTACTTTTCTATCTAACAAAGGTCCCATATAATTTTTTCCAAATAAATATTGAATGATTGAAGCAACTAAACTTCTAGCTTGAGAATGTAAAACTTCCATGGGCTTCTTTGAGGACATCAGTGTTACACGATAAAACTTCAGAGCACAGCACTACAACACCAACCACATTATAATGGTAGATCACCGAAACTACTGTGATGCTCATGCCATCCCGGTCCGTCACACATATTTCACAGTTGTAACTCATGGCGTTACGGGGAAATTCGTCCAAAACAACCCTTGTTCATCCTCGTAACAGATTCCAAACAATTAGTTACGCTAAAACGTGAATCATGATAGTTACGAAAAAGGGCTTTCCCAGGATCAAAACTAGGGGGGGGGCACGAGTGTACTTGAAACAGGGATCACTGGGAGTGGCCCACCTTGGGGTCCCGGGGGGTATGGGATACCCCAGTTTTGGAGGGGGATCCGGGGCTAAAATACAATATGCTGAAATTAGCGTGTTTTACGCCCAGCATATGAGTCATCTACCTGGCACACGAGGGAGAGCTGCATTTGTTCAGTTCAGTTCAGTTCAAAAATCTTTATTCACATAAAAAAAATTTTTATACAAATAATATTCAACCATGTGTTGTACAATTTGTGTGTGTGTGTGTGAGTAAGGGTTCCTAGTCCCTCAGATGCCATGTGAGAACGTACGGACTGTAGGAATATTTCAAATCAAGGATGAAGGAGAGAATAATTAACTCACCTCAGTAAGAGACGCGTTTAACACACTCAATACACAAACAACTGTTAACAACACATTTTACTCAATATTTAGCCCCATTAGGAGGATAAGCCACTACGAAGTAGAAGTACCTCGTTATAATTCAAGTAACAAGGGGTTGACAGAGTACAGGAAGTTTACAAAAAAATCAAAATTCATATTTCCCCCATGCACAGGGATTATTTCACAAAGTTGTCGCTCATTCTATAATAAATTGGGCAATTTACTAAATTTTAAATATAATTTTCATGTGTAGTGGATTTTGTGTGTGCAATAAACTTCCTGTAAATTTTTTTTCAGATGGGTTGTTTGTCTTATCCGTTTCTTCTTCCTTATTGTATTAGTTCTGGTACGTCATTAGTGGAAGAAAATAACTAATAATCTTTAGAAACCTGTCTTTATATTTTGAGTTTGTCTGGATATTCTTCTCAGGACTCATAGTGGATTTGGATTTATTATCATTTACATCATTCCATCTGTTTACATCATTTACACATAATTAAGGAAGCTGGATAATGGCTGAGTTATTAAGGGAGCTGATTCTATTCTTATCTCTGTTTTTACTAGCGTTGTATCAAGTAGTTTCTCTACTTTCTGTCACAAAAATATACTTGTATGACAATTAAAACAGTACCTAAATATCATAGAGTGCCTTGTTTAGGAATAAAAAATGTCATATGAAAAAAGATCAGTAGCTTTTTGATAGCTTAAAAACTGTAACCAATGTCTTTGATCATTGAGCTTCTATAAATGATCCTGGAAAAAGAAACTGCTGACCTTAGTCGGTTATAAAACTACATTATCTACCGTACGTCATACCACTCACCATACAATCATAATCAACTAAAAATATGTACCAAAGTGCCTCCCTGTTTTAGTGAATAAATCAACATGTACAACATACAACATTAAAAAACCTATTTGAGTGATGGGAGTTTAAAACATTTTTTGAGAAGCATAATTCTCTCTTTTGTAGGCCTACTCTAAATATTTATAAACAAACAGATCCTAAATTTTCCTACAGATCTCTATGCTGAAAACTGAAAACCAATCAGACAAGGCCGTAGTTCCAAAGAGTGTAGAAAACTGGTAGTTTTTTAGTTTTCCGACTCTACCTTTTCCGTCACACTGAGGCAGATGTCAATATTCTGAAGCTAACCTTGGCCAGCCAGGGTGGTTACGGTAGAAGTACTTCCACTCCCGAGATAGACGCCGAGGCCTCATTTTCAGCCAAAATCTCTTGCACCATCGCCATTTCAGCTCCTCCAGTCCGTCAAATCCAGATCCATACAGACAGAAGTAGTTATGGACAAACCTTCCATGATCTGATTCTGGCCTAAAAGTTACAACAGTGCCATTATTTTCTAAAGCTTTACTATACAAACTTTGCTCTGGTTTTATTTTTAACCTTTGTGAGAATAAGGCAAAATACTGGTTGGTAAGTATGACCCGTTCTAACAACACGTTTGATTTTGGCATAAGTGAGAATGGCTGTTTCGGAGTGTTTTAGGTGTCTTAGTGTGTGATTGATACTAAGATCTGACCGTTGTTTAGCTTGTCAATATGGTCAGAGTTATGAAACATTCGAGATTGCTTGGACAGGATAGTGTACGAAACCGGTTTACAAAAGCTGAAAGTGATATTTACATTCTTAGGATGATGTGGTTCGTTGGTGCCTCAAGTGCTGGTGAATGGGACGAAACATTTTACAATAATGGCAACATTTCCTCATGACTCTAGTAATGAGGAAGATTTTGAGGTGATTATATGATTCTAGGAAGCGGTCATTTATATTATTCAATAGTGTTGTAGTTGATATTAATAATCTAAGTGTTATGCTTCTGATTAATTGGGACGGGTGGTATTGTCCTGTCCAGCTACTAGGAGGTCACAAATTGTGGATATTTATAGGCATGCACTGTGGATGCGATACTCCCTGGTGTGGATTAACGTCCGCAGGAGTGAGTACTACGACTATCCGCAGTACTATCCTGATAATCAGACCAATTTGTATATACCAAGGCAAAAATGTGGTTTTGATTCCACTATAAACTGTAGGTCCCTTAGTCGTCATTAGCTGCATGGGCTATTAATAAATACTAACTAATTACAAATACTAATTAAGTGCATAACTGTGTCTAAGGAATGTCAGCCTTAGTCACTAACAAGACTACAAGATTGCGCCACTCATCACACTCGTCTCCATTCATACTTGGCTTAAAATATCTACTTTTGATGGTATAAAGTGTTGACAAGTTATTTTATAATTATTATTTTATTTTATAATTTCTTGGAACCACAAGAAACAGACACATTACTCTCTTACCAACAGTCCATTGCCAATATTGCTTCCATTGTACTCCCATCATGCATATCTTCTTTAGGCAAACCTTTGAACATTGCATGTAATTTGTGTTCCAGTATCATATTCCATTCTGATTTTTTATGCTGGTTTCCTGGCATAAGTATTTCAGCAGCTGTATTCCATTTTGATTTGTTATGCTGGTTTCCTGACCTAAGTATTTCAGCAGCTAAGATCTTAGCTGTTTTTAACTGAAACAAAAACACAACACTACAACGTGAACAAGTTGTAAAATTTTAGGACTGATAAAATAAACATACTAATCTTTTGAATTAAGAGTGATTTTAAGGTACCGGTATTACTAAAATATACTTTTATTGGATAATCTTGAAAGAATCTAAATTGTAAAAAAAGAGATATCGTTGGACACAACTCACAAAAGTAGAAAGTAAAGACATGTCGATACCAGAATTTATTGCTTCTGAATAATTCGCAAAACCAATACAATTTTTGTTTAAATTTTACCAAAATTTTAATATATTGAGATTACGTCCATATCCAGAGTATCTACTGCAGTTGTGTAGACATTATAATTTTCTTCCGTAAATGTAGCAAAATCCTGAATTTTTTATATCCCCCAAGGTAACACCACCGCTGTCTGCTGTGATAGTGGCAATATCCTGAACATCTCTTATGGTCGTGAAGACATTATCATCGTCTGCCAAGATCACAGTGAAACCCGGAATATCTCCTCCTCTTATAGATATCATCTTCCATAATCACTGAAAATATCGAACATCTCCTGTAGTCACTGAAACATCATCATTGTCTTCCGTGATTGTAACAAATCCCAGAAATACACCCACGATAACGGGTTCATCATCATCGCCTTCCACCATCACAAAAAAATCATGAAAACCTCCTGCGGCAGTGTAGACCTCATCTTTGTCTCCTGCGTTCGAGAAATGTTATTATCGTCATCTGGGTTGTGTCAAAAGCATGAATTTTTTTACTCAGCGATCTTCTCAGACATGTTGGGTATTGTCCATGTTACTTTTAGTTGGACCCCTACCAACAAGATGTACCACACATGAATAAACTCCTCATGAGATGCACAACAGACTTAACTAAAACGGTAACCAACTGACCATCTACGGTGCTGTATCCAAACCAGGTAGACATCGCTTCAGACCTACAAATCTGACTAAATCAAAGCTCAATTGTAGTAGTTAAAAGTTTCACTTCCAGATTGCAGCTTTTAGTTTTTTTTTTATGGAACCACTCGGAAACACTGTTTGCAATACTTCAAGAGGGTGCCTTCATACGCCAGAGATGGGCGAGATGGTATTTCAGCCACGATCAAAAATGGTGTGCAGTACATCATCATAATTTGAGTCACCATACTGACATTCCAGACTCGCTGACTTCCCCATCATGTGAACTTAGGAACCGAAACAACAGTCTCCAGTGTGCTTCAGAAGGTTAAACAAATTTACTGAAGGAGTCAAGGAAATGTGACTGGCTTCTAAAGGTGAGTAGTAGACGAATCATCAGTAATATTATTCCTATTCAGCTGTGGTGTGTATAGAAATTGCCAAGAAGGTGGTTGCCTTTTTTTTGGGAGGGGGGTCAGCTGTACACAATTTCCAAAAATTCATCCCATTGCAGAATGGAATACACAACGCAAGATGTACGAATAATTCTGACACTGGTTGGAGGTACACGTAATTAATCATCGGGGATGCAGAACTTGTTTCAAAAACGAACACATCAACAAGAATTATGATTACATCTCAGGGTTCTACTATTCACTTACCCGATGATCCTCATAATCTGGTTGAGGAGCTCCGCATTCCTCAGTCAACTCCTGGCGAAGATCAAAGTCTACTTTGTTGCGGCAATCTTCATAACAGTCGTTACATAGATGAACAAAGTACACACCAAGTTCTGCAAAGATATTTGAATATTTGTCATCCACAGTAAAATCAAAGCAAAAGTTAGTACAGTTTGTTGCACAAGTGAAAAACCAGCTAGCACATGTTTACAAATATTGGGGCACCTAGGCAGTACACACTTAGATGGGTGCCGGGAGTTGATATTGGTTCAGTAATGTATGTGAAAGTCAAACCCCACTTCATTGTCAAAACCCATCATTAGTCCTCATTCATCGAATTGACCCATTGGCACTCATAGGTCACAGGTGTTCTAATTAAATCTAAAAAAAGGGTCTTGACAGGACTCAAAACAAAAGTGGCGTATTCATCCTTGCTCAATCTCTGGCTTAACACATTTAACTTTTAAGCTTTTCAAAACCCATAATTTAGGTAATGGAATATTTTTTTATCCCTCCAGTATTAAAAAGTGAAGTGTGAGGTTTGGTCCTTTTAATCCCATGAATTTCATGAATTTTGTTTAAAGGTGGAGTTAGGAGTTGCCATGTGTTATTCCACAAAATCTAGTTTCTTGAAAGATTTCTAGTTACAGTAGAACGCTAATAAAAATAAGTAATAATACCAATAATGGTGATTTACATTGAAGAAGTGTCTAGTAGGCCTACTCACCATCAAACTCAACACCATAGTCAATGGGTACAACAGCTTTCACCTTGAAATCTCTTCCGTAGTCAGGAATACCACAGACGCAACAGACTCTTCCAATAAGTGAAATACGCGCACCGGTAGTAGGTAACGCACTTTCAAATACAAATACATTCTTCATCAATGATCTGAAAATAAGAAGATTTGAGTGAAAATTTTTAAATGTACGTTTTAATGTCCCTGGCCTTTTACTACGTAGATACTGTATTTGTAGGTATATTATTATGTGTTTTAATATTTTTTGGGACAGGGGCAACATGTTACAAACATTTATTTGGTTTTAAATAGGTTCTAGGTATTTTTTTGTATTTTTAAAGTCTCAAAATTCACGACCACACGTGTCCCTAGGGTACATTTTTCAACTTTCACGCTAATTATTCACGCCGAAATATATAAAGCCATATTTTTATGTCATCAATAGTTTATTAAACTTACAAAAAAGGAGCATATAATAATTTGGTTTTCATTGCAAACTGACTACCATAACAAAATAGGTCTGTTCCTCGATTTGACGTCCCGACCATAATGGCAAAATTTGCAACTTTGGAACACGACAGTGGCAATCCTGGCAGCAATAACGTCAGTTGGTTTCAGAGACTGGTTCGGGATGTGCGTTAGTTTTGTTGTGCCGGTGGTTTTGCAATAAAAAAATGAAGTACAAGATTAATATAGGTATCTTTGTGCTTTTTGTAATGTTGGTGTGTCTACGACCGTACGTAGTCATGTAATTAAGTACACATGGTGTTATTTTTTGTCGATATGATATTTTAATTGCTATGTTAACCTAGAAATCCACTTTGCCTCTTCAAACATGAGGTGTAAGGCTACGGAGGAATTGGCATACGGGAGGGACAATGGCTAAAGGTGTGGTGACGTCATATCTATAGTGGCTAATGTCTTATCTTGAGGCAACACGATTACCGTAATGAGACGATGTGATCCCAGCGGCGTTCGTGGTATAGTTGGTAGCGCATCAGACTAGTGTTCAGGAGGTCTCGAGTTCGAAATCCGTCGGCGACCTAAACTTTTTGTCAAAGATTTTGCTTCATTTGATTTTTATCTTATATCTTTTTTTATATTATCAGCAAGTTTGGTTGGTCAGGTTAGGTTATGACAGTTTAATTTTATAATACAAAATTTTAAAATTGATTTTATAATTAAAAATTATAAGTACATTCATTTCATTTTTATCTTATATATTTTTTATATTATCAGCAAGTTTGGTTGGTTAGGTTAGGTTATGACAGTTTAATTTTATAATTAAAAAGTTAATTTTATAACTAAAAATTATAAAATTATCATAATTTAAATTTTTCAACTTAGCGGTTCTAGCAGCAAACGTTGACACTATGTTAGCCATCGTCCCCCCGTGTGTCCCACCTGTAAGGCTACCACCAGAACAGAGCCAAATGATACGTGATTTCACGATCAGGGCTTCACGGCCATCACACGGTATTCACGACCAAAATAGCTTTATCAACTGTACTGTGTTATGGTCGTGAAAATAAATTTTAATATCATTGTGAATTGCACAGTTTAGTTTAATTGCAACACAAGTTTTTCATATTACAATTAATTGAAGGATGTAAAAAAAATAAATGTTCAACTATTTTTACATAGACAGGTATCTTTATTGCCTCATATAAGTTAAAGCTTATAGTGTATAAGCTTATAGTGGAGTCCTTATAGTGTAACTCTTTAACTCCTTATATAACTAATACGTAACTCCTTATAGTGTATAATGAGTATGTGTAAAACTATTACATTTTAAAAACTAATGATACTTTATCAAGACTTGTGGAATATTTTAATAATGAGAGTATTGGAAGGAAAACCTAAAAAAACAATATAGTGATTCTAGTTAACCCTGCAACACTCGCGCGGGTGACAGTTGTCACCCAGCGCTTTTGTTTAGGGCACAGCTTGGTCGCCGAGTGGGGGGGAGAGGCGTGACCTTCAGTAGCTTTCCGTTAAAAACAATAGATCCTCCTATGTGTGCGTTCGCGCGTCGAACCGGTTGCTGGCCCGTGTTATATCGCTCAATATTCGACTGGGTGACAAGTGTCCCCCGCGCGAGTGCAACCGTCATGAGTGTACCGAAGCGCCTGTGATTGTGCGATGACCCATAATTTTGGACATGTTGATGGAAGATAGTTCTGATAAAGATATAATAGAAAATGACAATGAAGAGGATCAGATAGAGGCAAAAAAAACGATGTGTCGGACATTGAAGAACATTGTGGACAGACATTGTGGAGTAGACAATACCTCCTGTCATGTATATAGTTTAGTATGTATATAGTTTTTTTAAATTATATATGTCAGTAGAGGAATAAACAGTCACATGTTTCAACACACTTGTAACTATGCATACCTTCAATGTCATGTGATGTACAAAGATGCACACTTTCATTTGAAACTGCTATACCTACAGTAATTTCAGTTTTTACTAAATAAAAAACATATTTTGACAATGAAATATCTGTGTTTGTGTTCATTATTAAACTACTTTTTGAAATAAAAATTGTTTTTACTATGTTACCTTGAAAAAGAAATTACAAATGTTAAGGGTAAAAATCCATAAATTTATTTTTGGTCAAAAAAGAATGATACCGTATTTCAAAATTTAACGTTTTTAAGCTATACAGTACTGGACAAAAAAAACATGAACACTATTCATAAAAAATCTTAAATAGTCACTTAATAGGTTTTGAGACATAATATTACTATAAAACAAATATGTTTACATATTTGTTACAGATTCTTTACATATTACACAAAAACGAAATGGGGGACAACTGTCCATGTTATCCATGTTATGAGATATGGCGCGAGTAGTGCAGGGTTAATCCCCAATTCCAGACCGTAACACTTGTCCCTGACCACAATGTTGATGATTTGGATCATAAAAAATTTAAAAAAAATTATATATCATCACATTCTAATGTTTTATACACTTGAGAAGGCCGCCTCTTTAAAAACATAAAGGTTTTTCATATATCGGGAAGGTTTGTTTGGAGCTATACGAACTTTTTTCAGCTTTATTGAATTTATTTAGATTTTTGAATTTTTTTAGAAATACTAAAATAAAACAAAAGCTTAGTAAGCTGTTTATTGCAAAATGGCCCTAAAACTAAATCTATTTACAGCAAAACATATTTATAAAAATACCATTTCCCATTTTTAATATTCATTTTTACGTTCGTTATGGTTGTGACAGAATTTTGTGTTTTTCCCTCAAAGATGCTGTATTAATAAAATACCCCCTCCGCAGCAAACCTGCAGACTAAGCGAATTTTAACTTGTCGGATTAAATCTATACGAAAATATTTCTATAAATAAGACATATTTATTCCATATTTAAATAACATTAGATTAAACAAGTGCTTAGGTTTGCTGCTACGGGGAAGGTAAAACGTGTTTTTTTACGATACATTAATAGTATAGGATGAAATAAATAAATTTGCCAAATTTTATCAACATATATCCATAAACAAGTAAACTACAACAGTGTTCATTTTCTCCATATGAATAACATGAGAATTTAACATTACACTTTTTTAAATTTTCTCCGGGACCGTTAGGCATACAACAGTGCTTCAATATACTAAATATTTTTTTTTAAAGCTCTACAAAATGGTTTAGGAAGAAATTGCAGAATTTTTAATTTTTAGGGTCAAAAATGGGAAAACCCCATTTTCATCCCATAAAACCCCCCATAAACCCCGGTTCCCATGGTCCGATTATGCTGGTTCGCGAACTCGTTCGAATAAACGTAAGTTTACACGTTTGAACCAAATTTCATCAAAATCATTTTTGCTCGAGTTATCGCGCTAACGGACACATATGAATAATATACATTTGTGTACATATATACATAAATTTGAACGGATGGTGTTTTTGACCTCTGGGGACCTCTAAACGAAAAAAGTGTATCGGTCCCGGGTCCAGGTCTTACCATGAGACCAACGGTAAAAGCTTATTCCCTATATGGGAAATTTGATAAAAACCACCAAAGATATTTACCATTGGCATTTTATGAAACTTCAAATGGCAATGAAATAAAAAAAATAAAAATGTCCTGAAAAAGAGAAAAAAATATTATAAAGTGCTCTTAAATTTTCACTTGTTTATGTTTTACTAGCTGTTTTATCTACAGTATTAGATAGTCTGCCTCAAAGTAGTATTAAATAATATGAAAACCTTTATTTTGTGACATAATGTTCTCTGTCACTGTCTTAACATGCTCTTGATTTGAAATTATTATTGTTGTCTCTACTTTTAAATATTTTTTTGGTCTAAAAGATACTACATTTCAGTGGCGGATATAGAATACTAGCTGTACCCGCAGGCTTTGCCCCTTTTAACTTCATAATAACAATAAGTGAGCTCGTTCTCATGGCTCAATCACGTCCTGGTTGAAGTTCGTTCGCTATGCTCACTCACCTTTAGGTTGGAGTTCGTTCACTGCGCTCACTTGCCTACAGGTTAGCTCGTTCGCTACGCTAACCCGACTCCAGGTTGAAGTTCGTTCGCCATGCTCACTCACCTTTTGGTTGCAAGCTGTTGTCGTGAGTGTAAAAAAATAATAATGTTGCACCCTGTTGGTAAACCTATTAACTCTTTAATGCTATTGAACATCACAGAATCAACTTGTTTAGTTGAATCAGCTGTTAAGATTCTTTAATTCCATTTAAATATGAGTACTCATAAGGTTAACATGGGAAACTCCAGAGCCACCGGGGCGGAGCCCGAAAGCCCGATCAGAATAAAAACTACATAGTTTTCCTATTTAATGCCCAAAGAATCGGTGTACCGAATTTCAGCCTCCTAGGTAAATGGGAAGTGGGAGAATTAGTGATGAGTGAGTCAGTGAGGGCTTTGCCTTTTTATACAATATATAGATTTTTTGGAGGGGGGCCGAGATTAATTCAAGGTTAGGTTAAGTAAATTCAAGTTGACACACCATGATACTTTATTTAAATTTTGCGGCGGTAATTTGCGCTAAATGTGACCTTTACTTTATCAAGATCGAACACTGTATCATTATATCGTTCTATTAAATCATGACCATTCAAGCCAATGGAATAAAATATCTCAATTACTAATTCAAAAAACATTGGTCAAGATTTAACAGCGTGTCATTCCATCTGTAAACACTTATTTAAACCTAAGGAGTCAAATACACGATTGTGATTATCATATTTGGAGGGGATCTCGAACAACATAATATACAGTCTTCAAAAGCATATTTCTAAACCTAGTGACACTAAGATGTATTCAAAAGCTACTTACTTAACGTATTTTTGGATGTACTTGAACCACCTGCGCTCGATTCTTTCTTCCCCCCAGTTACTATAATCATAATAATATTTTTTTCCAATTTTGTTTCGCCAAAGTTTTATTGTGTATTTCCAATATGTCTTTTCATCCCAAAATAATCTTCTTAACCAAGAATAGTTCCGCTCAATCTAGAACAAGTGAGCATGTAACAAAATTACTTAGATTACCAGCAAGTGATGAGATAAATCCCCTAGGGTTAATAAAGGAGTCGTTGCATACACATATTCCTTACAATCACAATCTTCACAGCCCCAGGAATGTTGAGGATAGTAAAAAAACAAGTTGGTATTCAAGATGGTAGGCCTTATGAGCTTTTGGTCTCAAACCAGCGGTCGTTTGTTGGAAAAAGAGAACTGTAATATCCTTCAGTACTACATTTTCAACTTAAATATGACCCATGAGGTAAACATGTTCATATAGATGTTAAAACTTTTCCTTTTGTTTTGTATACATAAGATGTTGTTTCAAAATATACTCAATGCAAGGTGTACCTTGGGATTAAATGTACTTTCTAAAAACTACTGGAAAATGCAAAAAGCCAATGTACTTTCTTTAGGTGACAAGTTTCATACCAATGTTTCATGTAGCCTACATATTTCTAATATATTCACTTTCAAATCAAATCAAAATATCCTTTATTCATTTCAGTACAATTGTACAGGAATAGAGTCAGATCTTACCAAATAAAATGTTTTACATGGAACTAAAAATAAAACAAGTACAGTATTTATTTTATTTGTCCTCCCAAAACTCTTCAAGAGAATAAGGGGCAAGTTTAATCATAAACTGTTTCAGACAATTTTTTAACTTTTTTGTATCATTTCCAGTTAGAAGTGCTTTTGGTAGACTGAACATAAATTTATTTCCTGTAAATTTTTTTTTTTTTTATAAAATTCAAGATTGTGTCTATAATTTTTAGTTTGAGAACGAGTGTTATAATTATGTCTAATTTTGTTAATACCTGAGTTTTTGTAATATTGTACTTTGCTCCTGCTACTGTACTGTACCAGCATGCTGAATCCTACATACAAAAATTCACAATAAAGTAAACTTTCACCTAAGATTTATTTGACTTTATTAACTTAATGATAAACTCACAACTATTTCATTGAGTTTCAAAAATATTTCCACTCCCAATCGAGCATCAGTTGCAGCATAGCGGATGAGTGCATCATTTAATTCGTCCGATTCCCAAGGCTTCTTTGATTTTTTTGGAATATCTAATTTCTCCTTGCCAAGAACCTTTTGAGCCAAATAATTTAGACCTCTAGGTTCAATGAAAGCAAGTTCTGCCAAAAATCTCAAGTCTAGACAACTTTTGCAGATTATACCGTAGCTATCCAACAAATATGTTGCATCCTCAATCACTCCTACTCCAACTTTGAGTATATTTTTGTCCTCCAATATTTCCTGAAACAACAAATAGTATATAATATATAACATAACATGGTAAAAATCATAATATTGATCCAAAGTAATGATAATGACCTCTTTCCAAACATAATAAGTATCCTAGTGTAGAGTGTATACATAGTGTAAACTCATCCATCACGCGCAGCTATATCACGTCGCTCACAAAAACTGCTTGCTGAACGTGTTTTTTTTTAGTTTATGAAAGTCATATGTTTTATTATCTTCATGTTATTTACTAAAGTAATTTCAATTTCAAATGTTATTCATTGTCTCTTAAGGCGCGTTTACATTAATTCAAGCTCACATTCCCCCTCGAACTAGTGTCAACGACAAATTTACTCGCATGTAGAATACGAGCACGAATAATGTATGTTAAATTTCTTTGTTTTATTAAATTTAATTTTTTCTCACTGACCACCAAATGACCTTGAATAATTTCACTCCATTTGGTGCCGAGACGTTTGAGAAGATGGCTGAGGATGATTCCAGTGCGTTGTTCATTGAACAGTTCATCAAAACACGCGATAGTCGTCCTAAAATAAATATAAAACCACCTTTCGTCTTTCTTTGGATCCGGCATAAGGGTATGGTACTCGCAAAATAAATGCCCACTAGTAAACACGTTGCTCGAAATCGAGCAATTGCAAAGAAGTAAAGTAGTTATTTAAAAACAAATAAAAGTCATCATAATTTCCTATGAGTTTAAAAGACTTTGAATTGAAAAATAAATAACAGCAATTAAATTATACAGCTGATCAAAATGTAAACAACTAAGTTCTCCATAAGGATAACATGGGAACTTTCTAAGCCACTGGGGCAGAGCCCAAGGGACTTTTTCAAAAATGTAAGGCCAGTTTGCAAATCTACGCGACACGCTCTTTCCAATGAGACGTCAATGGATAAAATCGGTTAAGAAATGGCGGAGGAGTTCAACCGACAAAGTTTCGTGTAGCGTATTAATTATATAGATTTAGATTGATTTCATGAACCTAAACAGATCGCCGTCTTGCAGCTTCATCTTATCTTCAGCTGTTGCTAGCAAAGCTTCTTCTTCTTGTACATTACGATTCATGACATGAACGCATAAAATACAAACATTCACTTAACACAACCGAACACTCTGTAGCTAAGATGGAAATGAACTGGAACTGAGGAGTCGTCCTGCTTCCCGCTGCCTGCAGCTTCGGTGTGGGCTACCTCTCTCCCGCCACGTATCGCTGCCGCTGGTTCCCGCCGGTCATTCGCCCCCTTCCCGCTCCCCCCACTTTCCCGCTTCGGTTTGGACGAGCCTTTAGAGAACCCTTAGGAAGTATAGAACTGAAGTTGTCTATAAGAATAGACAATATATTTATTATTCATGTAAAATTATTCTTTGTTAGATTAGTTAGTTTTTTTATAGCGATTGAGTTGAATAAATTATTTGATTAAAAACCCCAAGAAAAAATACTTTCAAAGAATTTTAGACATTACTGATAAAAAGTCTGCTATGTTACGATCTTTTTACTTTAATTCTTTGTGTAGGCTGGATTTACTCTTGAGTTTTTTTTTTATTTAGGTCTTTTACTCTTATTCAAGTCTGGGTTACGATTCAAGGAAAAGCTTGTCGTAATCTACTTCTTCTTTCAAAGTGATTAAGCGCTTTTAAAAATAATATCTGTGTCCTTTTGACAAATTGTTTTCAAATGAGTGGAAAAAATGTATTTTCGTCAATTTAACAAAATTATTTAGAATAGTCACCAGTTACGTAGCTCTCTATGGTTCCAAGGTAAGAATCTGTTTCTCAATCTGACAATCTCTTGTACAATCTATCCTGTTGAATACTTCACCCCTTCTTGTGATAGGCTTATCGTAGTTATTTTTTGTTTCCAAATACATTGACCATTTTTTTATTGTTTCTGGGTACAACAGTCAACTTATTTTCCGCCTTTCCTTAATTTTTACAATATTGGGATCTACAGTAATGGTTCTGTCTTCTTCCAGTGGAATTGTTATAATTTAAAAAGTTAATAACCAGTTTTAGATTTCAAATTTTCGTACAGAAGTGATATGTTGGAAATTATACAAATCCTTTTTGAAGGCTAAGAGGGTTAACAGTTTTCCTTTATACTTAAATATGTACCTTATCCACTGGTACTTTGTCTGTAAGTAGCCTAGCAATGTTTTGCAAGTGATTTATTTCCATATTTGTTACCAAATAAAGTGAACAAATAGTAACTTAAACAAAACCAATTTTGAGATATTATAATTTGAGTCTTAGCAAACTACTTTCTGTTTTTGTGGGTGGGATTTCCAATCCAAAACTGTTAATTGTGTAAGCTAATAAAGTTCACTCATAAAAAAGTTCATAGACTATTGGATATTGAGGTTATATAAACAGTCAAAGCTTAGACAATATAAAGTCTTTTACATTAGAAATTTATTTTGAAAGGAAATTTATCTTAAGACTTTCAACTTTTTTTTACATTATTGGTACGTATGTATAGCCTAATTAAGTTATTATGTTTTTATGGTAGAACCATTAGGTAATGTTTAGTTTTTTCCCCCTTTCAAAGTCTCTGACCTGTCTTTAATTAAAAATTGTTTTTCGTTGTTACCATACAAATACTACTTGTCTGTTAAATAATTCACTGTTGTCTTTGCATTTAACTATATGTTTGTCCTTGCTCTCTAGTCAATTTGATTTTATATTAGTCTATATATTTATATTTCTCAGTTGTTATTGGTTGTTAGCTTGTGGGTTTGTTGTTATTGTTTCATATTAATTATTTATTGTTGTTGTTTTAAATTATTTATTTATTAGTATACCTTTTGTTATTTTGTCAGTTTTTGTTTTGTTTGGCTAGGTTTGTCATTGTTATTGTTGTTTGTTATTAGATCATTATTATATTGTTGATTTTATTTCTAGTCTATAAGCACAAAATTTGTTATTATCAACTAAGCCATCCTGAGTTGTAATGTTTTGATTTGTATGGCTGTAAAATGGAGATGTCTGTTGGAAATAAATAAATAAATTAGGCTTGGTACTAATATCTTTCTTGTCATTACCTTACCGATTGCGTCCCCTGATCAGTTGACAATGCTTTTAACTTTAACTACAGAATATGAATATACTTTATAGTACAGTATGGTGTATTTTATCAAATAAAATTGATTGTATGTTAAAATATGTGATTTCTTATTGGAGAACCTGACATTGATGGTAAAACAACTTACTCTAAGAATATTCTCACTTGGTAGCTTAAATGAACATGATTTTGGAGAATCTGTTAGGTAGGGAAGTAATATGGTATCTTTTTTAGCTTTCTGCATGACTTTGAGTTGGAAAATAGCACAGTAACCATTTGGATTTGCCAGTTGTAGAGTAGCAGGTATTGGACGGCCACCATTCACAGAAGTAGATGTCATTTCACAGTCTAATCCAAGCACTCTAAGTGTGTGAGGTTGCCTGTAACATGTACGTGAATATTTATAAATACTTTTAACCCTAGGCCTAATATTGAATTGAAAAAATGGGTGAAGTTACTATACTATAACTTAACATCCAGAACAATATATATATGTTCTTGTCCTCTTCTCATTGCAAAGCACGGGTAGACCTGAGTACAGCAGCTGGTTATAGACGAAGTTCAATAAAAAAAAAATATTGACTGCTGACCCATATTTGTTTTTATGGTATACGGTAGTAGCCTATCAGCCTATGGTATGTAGTGGGCAAACAACTACGATCAAGGATCACTTGACGGGTAAAGGTAATTTAAACCTTATGTTGACCCATATTCAATATTTAAAATGTGATATTCAGGTTCTCTCTTGAACTAGCTTAACTTATAAGTTATAACTTAACACGTTCGCTACTGAGCGTCGCATATATGCGACGCCGCGGTCATTGTCACAGACCAAGGTATACATTTGAACCTTACGCATAAGTTAGACCGTCTGTCACTTGGTTAACAGTAGGCCTACACACAGACCAAGGACGAAAACCTGTAAAACAGTGATAATTTACATTGTAATACGCTGCAATCGTGTTTGTAAAAAGTTCATTCTTGTTTTTTTGTATTTTTATAACCTTTTGTATTTGCCACGTCCGGTCTACAGCGAAGACAATAGTGAAGATTATCATACCGGTAGTTTTCTTGAAATAGACCAAACGTCGCATATATGCGACAGTTCATTTTTGTTTGTGTTTTGAGGAGAAAGTAAGTAAACAAAACAGATTATTCAAGAACACTTTATAACTGAACAAATATAAAAGCTACATAGGATAAGGGGTACAGTTTCTTAACTGGGCTATGCTAATTATTGATTTAAACTATCGAATTAAAAATATTTATTAATAATTGATATTTTTAAATATACCTATTATAATAAAACTATCATAACCTTAACCTAACCAACCAAACTTGCTGATGGTGAAAAAATCGCATGAAGGTTTACCAATCGAATCGATAGTTTCAATCAATATTAGCATAGCCCAGTTAAGAAACTGTACCCGGATAATGCAGCATACATACATACAGTCGCATACAGTGATGCAGAAAAGTAAAGAGCAGTTTTTTCAACTATCATTATGACGTCACCAATCATCATATCCACAGACCAAGCGACGCAGTCAGACATCTCTGTAGACCTGGGCAGGGAATATTGGTGTGAACCTGGCAATAACTCCAGCCATAAGTAGTGCGCACACCCGAAAAAATCTATTGCTGGCCCTTTTGCGGCAAAATATGACCACGTAACATGAAACCGATGATGTCACCAGATAGAGGACACTTTAACGGACACGACAGTATCAATATCATGTACCTGGGGGATAAGAAAGGGGGGGGTAAAGTCAGCAATAAGTAGAGCGCGCACCCGAAAAAATCTATTGCCGGCCGTTTTGCAGCAAAATACGACCGCGTAACATATTACCACATACATATTACAACATATTACACAACATATTAGGCCTACCGATGATGTCACCAGATAGAGGACACTTTAACGGACACGACAGTATCAATATCATGTACCTGGGGGATAACTACACTACATGATGACTTTACTTACCTCTGAAGGATCCTTGTAACAGCTCTACAACAGCCATAGAAATTTTTCACTAAATTATTTGTGGGCCTAAACGAGTTAGATTTAGATTTAAATAAGTAACAATTATTGCAAACATGGTTATAGGTTAAGTATAAAAAATACACTAAACCACCAACTAAACCAGTGTTTAAAATATTCCACATATTTGAGATTGTATGCCACTCAATAAGTTACATGAACACTAGGCCTGGATAAAGTCAATTAATAAAAATATCTAAATTGTCATAATGGTGCAGGTTTACGACCTTTACGACACCACATAACTTATTACTAAAATAGTATAGTAGTACGTTTTCTGTGCTAAAACTTACAGTAGAACAGAACGAGAACACAACAAAACCAAAACGAAAACAATAAACATAAACATAACATAACCTTAAATAATATCGTAAAAAATTTGACATAAGTTCAAACCGTTAAGCCCCCCACACACTACCAGACCAGACCTCCAGACCAGACCGTTTGGCTGCAACCAGACCGTCTTGGACGGCTCTACACACTCCCAGACCAGACGGTCCTAATTCGTAATTGAGAGACCGTGGTGAGAACTCCAACAAATGGATGAAGATTGTCACGATGGTCGGCCGTCTGACAGACAGCGCTACACACTCACAGACCAGACAAAAATAGTGGTGGGGGAACCTCAGACCGTCTGTGGTCTGAGGGTTCAACCATCAGACACGCAGACAGTCTGGTCCGAGAAAATCGGTCTGCAGACAGCCCCACACACGATAAAGCCCCCCACACACTACCAGACCAGACCTCCAGACCAGACCGTCTGGCTGCAACCAGACCGTCTTGGACGGCTCTACACACTCCCAGACCAGACGGTCTAACATTCGTAATTGAGAGACGGTGGTGAGAACTCCAACAAATGGATGAAGACTGTCACGATGGTCGGCCGTCTGACAGACAGCGCTACACACTCACAGACCAGACAAAAAAAGTGGTGGGGGAACCTCAGACCGTCTGTGGTCTGAGGGTTCAACCATCAGACACGCAGACAGTCTGGTCCGAGAAAATCGGTCTGCAGACACACACACGATAAGACAAGTGCCAGACGCCAGACCAGACGGTCTGGTCTGGAGGTCTGGTCTGGTAGTGTGTGGGGGGCTTAAGACAAGTGCCAGACGCCAGACCAGACGGTCTGGTCTGGAGGTCTGGTCTGGTAGTGTGTGGGGGGCTTTAGCGTGTGACTGTGAGGTTCTACTTCGCATTCTAGTTAGCACTTAGCAGGCTTTGGTTTTATTTACCAAGCAGCCCATATGTATCCTCGATGTACACTAGCACCGCTGCCTTTGGTTATTTATAGATTAAAGCATAAGACACTTTCTTTAGTGTCTACTTCTTTAACCTATGTTAATACCAAATACCAACCAAAAGGAGTGTGTTTTATCTATCTATATATTAATATATGTTACCTTAAAACCTTTTTTCTCAGTTCGTGTGCATAGCAGGGAAAATCTACGCATACCGTTAGAAAGATATTTTTCTGTAGAAGTGTAGAACCCCTTTAAAAATTAAAATAGGCTCAAATATAAGTACAAAAATGAAGTTGAAATTTTTTATAAATTTAACATGTGCCTTATGGGTTGCCATGCTGGTGACGAAATAACAACTAAATACAAACACAAAATCAAAACAAATGGAAGAAATTCCAATCACATGTTTTATTTACAGCGTGGGGCGAAAATAGAGAATCCTGAACCTTTACATTCAATTCCCATGTTAAAGTTGTCACCAGTTTTTTTTTTTTTATTAAATTAGTCGTAGTTGATGTGAGCCACCAACAGACTGCGTTGATTTAATGACTAAATTTCTGTCGAATGCACGTTGTGTTTTACCAATTTAAACTTTTTGAATCAGCTATAGCAACTGTATGATCCATCAACTTTGTCAGCAACAAAAATAAGGTAGAAAATAGAACTTAAGACACGCTTTTGGCGAATGTCTCACACAACTACATGTTTTTTAAATAAAAATGGTGACAGCTGATTTCTACTTCAGTATCCAATAGTCAATACGTATACATTACATGTTTTTGGTCGAGTTTTCGACCACTGGACGACTTCTAGTCTATGTTATTACACGGCCACCTAGGCCACAGCCTGGTAGAATTGGCAACGTCGCAAGTGGTGTTGTCTAGCGCCATACATCCCATAAGATAACATGGCAGATAGGTGACACCAGCTTATTATTTCGCGTATTGTTCATTAAAATTAAAATGTATAAACATAAATTTATTGAAAGATTGAAAATAAAACACATAGAAGTGAAAACCAAAACAATAAATTGAAATAAAATTTTTTTACTTTTAAAGTGGAGTCAATATTTTTATAGCCCAGCAACCAAGCTTTCGTGTTCTTAAAATACACAAATTAGGTACCATTAGCTGCATCCGAACAAATCAGCTGTTACAACTCTACTTGCGATGTTGCCATTTATTCGAAGTTCAAAGGCCGCGCGGCCTATGGTGTTAATTGTGGCTGTGGGGTTTAATCTAAAATAATTAACGTCCCAAGTAGCACACATCCTTGGCCCAACGTTGGGAAATGGTCGGCACGGTTGGGAAATGGTTGGCAGAAATTTTAACGATTTGCCAACGTTGGCCCAACGGAAACTGGTATTCGTTGGCCCTTTAAAGGAAAGAATCGTTGAACCTTCGTTGGGTTTAAGTATAAAACATTCTAAAACGCATTTTAACGAATTGATTTATTTAAAAAGTACATAAATGTTATAGCAGCAGAATATAAGACAAATATTGCGTAAAAACTTGGATCTATAATAAATGTAGTCAGACAATGTGATACTAGATACAGTGGGAAACACCTGCAATAATTATAATAATATATAATAAAATTATAATAATTTCATTTTTTATAATATTCTTTAACTTATTTGAGCAAATGTTTAATAGTTATAAGGGAAAGATAATTAATTATATATAGCAGTCAATTATAACAGTAGCCTACTAATCTATTGGTAATTAAATAATCTATATTCAAATACCAGTATCCTCTTCAACTACCAGAAAAACAATTCAACTACTTGAGGCCTAAACAGATTAACAGAATCATATTAAACTGTAGCATCAAAAATATTTTAAGTGTCGATGACCATTGCACCTGTCGGCTACTCTTTGAACACTTGAAAACACCCATAATCAACAAGCACAGTTAGCACAAAGCAAGGCGTGAGGCTCACAAGGCAAAGGAACCGGGTTCGAGACCCGTTCCGGCCTAATAATTTTATCTCTTTTTTTAAATTAGCTTTTATGAACTATTTAATCAATTTACTCAACTGATAATTATGATTTTCATTCTAAATCTTTATTATTTTGTGTTTTTTTTAATGTTTAGGCCCAATATGGGATGGTTGGCCCTTCCGCAAAAATTTGTTGGTTGGCCAACCGTAAGACTGAGTGCCAAAAACATACCGTTGGCCAACGATCGACAGAAACGTTGGGCCAACGATTTTTGCTACTGTACTTGGGGTACGGTACTTCTAGTATACATATAGGATTTTTAGGCTTAACGTTTGACTCGCAATTTGATGTTTACAAACCTTAAGTTGAGCTTTAGAATTTATAATAATTTGTCTACAAGATAGAGTTATTTTATAGGATTATGAGATTTATTAGAGACCACCCACATATATGTGGGTATAGCAAAAAGATATAGTGAAGAGTTTTTCGTATAACACGCCATCCCCCCTGTCTTAAACCCCCTTTTTTGTTTAAAAACTGCAACATTTTCCGGGGGGGGGCCGGTGCCCCCCTTTTCTGAGGGTCCCCCATACCCCCTGGTGTTTCCCCCCAAGGATTTGGTGAAATGACGCCACTGCAAGTGGTTAAAAAAAGCCAACAGCTATGCAAAGGTCTTAGTACTTTTTTACAATTTTTGATAATATGATTTGTTTAAGCAGTAATAGTTATTGTTTTGCTGGGAGCTGGAGGATACTGGTATTTGAATTTAGATGTGGAAAGCAAAAATGGACCTCTTGTCGGCGATGCAAAATTTTCAGTACGACCGATTTAAGTAACTAAGGTAGAAAATGTCGAAATTTGGTGTTTTTATCTATTGTTATATATGCCCCGTTTATCACAGAACAGGACATAATCGGTTAAAGTATCGAATTGAAGATTGTAAAAGATCGAAATAAATCAGCCTGTTAAGCCTCTGCACGGTCTGAGAAATGGTACCTCTTGTCGCTCAATATTATTTCTTCATACGACAAGCAGGTTCCATTTATAATATTCACTTTATAAACAGACTTATTAGTCCATAAAATGAATTGCCCTGCATTCTAAAGGATATTTAGAGAACTACAACAAAGTTCAGTTTACGGAGAACGAAATATCTTACTTGCGGTCCCGACAGAGATGCCTTATTTATCTTATGGAGAAATAACACAGGGCCAACAAGAGGCCCCTTTTCTGAAAAGTGGTTATTACGTCATGCTTCAATAAAACAGTTATTTAAAAGAAAACTATCATGAGTTAAGGCTAAACTGAGTTTTTCCTCCAAAGAGGACATTAAAAGCTTTCTTTTGATACAAAAATAGTTTTTTTAATTACCTTTATAATTATTCTGCCCCACGGGGAATACACAGGTCTCCAAGGATTTTATTTTTAAAGGTACGATTACACGAGAGTGAACAGGAGCGAACGAGCAGTAACGAATGCGAAATTCACATCTGTGAGACCGGTGCAGCGATCCAGCGAACACCAATCGGCCGTGTTCGGCAGTGCTCGGTAGTCACATCACATGTTCGTGTTCGCACCTGCTCCACAGAGAAGTGCTCCATCCATTGTCGGTTTCAGCGCGAACGATCAAAGGAAATTCGCGTTCACTCGAGTTCGGCGCTCGCTTCAGTGTGGCCACATAGGAGTGACTCCAGTCTGGTTCTTGCCGGGGTATACATTACTGTTATCGTTATCAACAAGTTGTTAAGGTCAAAGGTGGTTTTTTTAATTGCACTACAATTAATTATCCATACAGTATTTCGTTTATCTATGGAATGGACTGATGACAAAGTGTTGAAGCTGATTGAAGAATACAAAGCAAGGCAGTGTTATGGGATCCTAATAGTGCTGATTATAAACTAAATTTTTATTAAACATTTATTCTGTTTAAGAACTGCACTGTGACGATAACGGGGATTATCGTCATCGTGCAGAGTTCTTGTTTCGGAGCACAAGCGAATGACTTTTCAATCAAGATGATTCGTGTGTGTTCGGTGTAACCGTAACACGGTAACGACGTAGCGCGGATTATGATAACGGAGACGACATGCTATAATTTATCCTACCAAAATAACCATATAACTACTAAAATATAAGTTTTAGTTTGATTAGTGGTTGTTGATTTTTTTGGATGACTTTAGATCCTTTGTTTTAATAAGGCTAACTGTAACATTCAATATTCTTGATGAAACAATGATGCACTTATCAACATTTTATCGTCTTTATAATCAATCTCCAATCGTAAATGTAGGATTGATATTTACAGGATATCTGTTCTTAGATACCTAGAACCTTTTATTTTTTATTTTTTTTGTTTTTTAATAACAATTTTACTAACCGATCAGCATTACATTGCAATACAGGTTAGGTATAATATAAGAAAGAAACAAATGACATTATTAATTATATTAACATAGGTAGAGGGTAGAGGTCAGCTATGGCTAGCCTCTTATTGTCACTGTTTTAGCGGGTCGGACTGTAAAGGCGCTGTCCACCAATGAAACACAAATGAAAAAAAAGTTGTAAGTTATTAGCCTAAACATTTTTCAAGAACGATGATCAACAGTAGCCTACCTACTTAAGGCACTGCGAACTGTTAAAAAAACCCAGAGGATGTACACGTCCGGTAGTTACTGTCATAACCTAACCTAACCAACCAAACTTGCTGATAATGAAAAAATCGAATAGAAATGTTAAATTCTGTTCATAAAATAAAATTATAATACCCCCGCCGCAGCAAACCTGCAGACTAAGCGAATTTCCATTTCCCTGAATGGATTTACACTAAAATGTCTCCTTAAAATTATCACATTTATTCCCTATTTAAATAGAATCAGTTTAAAACATACTTAGGTTTGCTGCAACAGGGAGGGTAAAAGTGTTTTTTAAGTAAAATGTTAATAGTTAGTAAGAAATAAAAACATTTTCCAAATTTGGGCAAAATATGTTTATAAACAAGCAAACTACAACAGTTTACTTATTCTCCATAAGAATAACATGGGAATTTTAAATTTACAATTTTTTGGAATTTTCTCCGTAACCATTAGGCGCATTATAACGCTTCAATATACTAAATTATTTGTTTTTTTAAGCTCTACAAAATAGTTACAAAAGAAATTGCAAAATTTTATGTTATTTGGGTCAAAAATGGGAAAAACCCATTTTTTCCCCATAAAAGCCCCCATAAACCCCCGTTCCCATGGTCCGATCATGCTGGTTCGCGAACTCGTTCGAATAAACGTAGGTTTACACGTTTGTAAAAGTACCAAATTTCATCAAAATCGGATCATTTTTGCTCGAGTTATCGCGCTAACGGACATATATATATATATAAATATATATATATATATATATAAATATATATATATATTTATGAATTTGAACGGATGGTGTTTTTGACCTCTAGGGACCTCAAAACGAAAAAAAAAATCGGTCCCGGGTCCAGGTCTTACCGTGAGTACTACGGTAATAGCTTATTCCCTATATGGGAAATTCGCTAAAATGGTTATGATAAAACATCTTGAGGCAATCTGGGTTTTAGTCGGTGTCTCTGGATTTCAGAAGGTTAGCCTGTGTTGTAAAATCGAATGTAGATACCTAGAACTGAATATATGTACAATATTTTTAGGAAATTTAGTTTGGTTAGGTTATGACAGTATATCTAATATATAAAATTCTCGTGTCACAGTGTTTGTCTGCAAACTCCTCCGGAACGACTTCATCGATCGTTATGAAATTTGGTGTGTAAATTCTGTAGGTATGCGTATCGGACGTAAACTATTTCCCGTTTCGAAATTCTTAAAAGGGCTCCGCCCCAGTGGCTCTGGAGTTTCCCATGTTAACCTTATGAGAAATGGAATTAATGAATCTTAACAGCTGTTTCAATTAAACAAGTTGGTTCTGTTCTATGATGTTCAATAGCATTTAAGTTACAAGGATTACCAACAGGGTGCAGCACTATTATTTCTTTTACATTTATGACAACAGCTAATTTGCAACCAAAAGGTGAGTGAGCGTAGCGAACGAACTTCAACCTGGAGGCGAGTTAGCGTAGCGAACGAGCTAACCTGAAGGCAAGTGAGCGCAGCGAACGAGCTCCAAACTAAAGGTGAGTGAGCGTAGCGAACGAACTCCAACCCAAAGGTGAGTGAGCGTAGCGAACGAACTTCAACCAGGACGTGATTGAGCGATGCGAACGAGATCATCTTGAAAATTAAACGTAACGGTACTTTCTTTCCATCGGTCTGTCTTAGGGGAAACCTATAACTTAGGCGATACGAAGTTCGCCGGGTCAGCTAGTAGTTTTATAATAAATAAAATTATTTTATAACTAAGTATGTCGTCATGGATGGCCCCCGGGAGACTGTCCGGAACGCGACACCTAGGGCCGTATGTGCTCGTTGGGTTCTCGTCGAATTGTCCTCGTCGCTCCTCGATGTCGATCGATATTCGATAGTCGAAGTCTATTCGATTCGATGTCATTTCCATTATTTGTCTGTCTCTGTCATTTGTCTTGTCGTCACTCGTCAGTCAGCTACATTTAAGAAAAATTGTTAACACGTTTTAGAATTTAAAGGTTAGTTGTGAACAGTAGAATTTAATCGGTAGTTAATTAATTTAATATTCTCGTATCAGATCTGTAGGCTTACTTAGTAACTCTCATCATTGACTTAGGCCTATAGGCCTAGCCTATCATTATGCCTGTGATAGGTTCTTTATTTACATTAAATTCCATACAACTTTAGTAACCTGTTTTATGTAGGCCTAAGACCATATTAAATTTGGATGAAAATCCGGTAGGCCTAAACCAGCATTGAAAATAGCCTAGGCCTAGGTTATTAAAAGTTAAGTTATCTTAGCCCAGATATATAAGTAAACTTATTTTGCTATATTATTTTGATAGCGTATACGATATGAGCAATTTGATGGACTTAACATCTGGCGTTTGAAAGCCCCGTCCTAGCTGAACGACGATAGCCTACCTAAGTTAAGTCTATCGTCTGTGCAAGCAAATCTATATTCATTCTATTTGTCTATGATTAGACTATCTTTTGATGCAGCCAATTACTGTTTCTAGTCTTCTGTTCCTATAATAAATAAAAAAGAAATACAGGCTAAGATTAGGTAGGCCTACCTTTTTACAATTAACTGTTATAGGCCTAATAAACAAATGTGGAAACAGGAAGGAATGATAGTAGCCCACTGTAAGATTCACATTTACTACAGTAGAACACCCATAATTTGGACATAAAAAAATCAGGTCTGTCAATAATCCAGCTGTTTTTTAAGCAAATAAATAAAATGTAGGTCTACTGCCTTTTAAAACTAATTAGGGACGTAGCTCCATAAAAACTAACCACTAACGCTATTTTTTTATAAGCTCAAATATATGTAGTGTCTGATAACTTAATTTTCACTGCGCACATGTATGTACTGTAGCAGGAAATTAAAATCTGAACACTGCTTGAACATAAAAACTGTGTCAATTTATTTATCTCTCCATAGACTAACCAACACAAGTAGACTTCTCATCCCATTGTAAATTTTGAAGCTCGTTTTTCATGTCTAGTTGATGTACGCCACACTGGGCGCTAGTGTCGACGAAATTTTGTTTCTATTATTTTAGGGTTAATTTCTTGATTTGTGCTTTACTGTTTGGTTAAATAACTAGGGGACAATTTATTGTTTATGATTAGATCGTATTACAGTCCAACCTCGGTATAACGAATCTGAAGGGACCGAACTGAATATTCGTTATACCAAGGATTTCGTTAAAATGAGACAGGTTCGTTATATAGAGGTTAGGTGTGCAGGAATTTCGCTAAGTCGAGGTTAAGAACCAGCATCAGTCTATTTAAAGGTTGGGATTGGACCTCATTAAAACAAAATTAAAGTAGCAAAGGCTACAATACTTTACAGTGTACAATGTTTACATTGTAAAGTAGAATCTCGATTATCCGGGATACTAAAGGGAAGGGAACTTAAATATTGCGCAATCATGACATTTATAGTCATTGACCTTGGTACAGGTTACAAACTTTAAGTTTAAAATCACAGCTTACTGCTTACTCCAATCCACCTAAAACCTAGCCAAACACTGTATTGCATAGCAATAAACCACATAAAGAACAAAACAAAACAGTAGAGAGTTTTGTAAGCTACTGCTAGTGATAGGCCGGTGGTAGGCTACAGACAGTAGTGCTTTAAATCACAATATAGGAATGTACTGTAATTATCATGAACTTAGTACAAATCATATTGAAAATAATAAAAATATTAGATAGGCTAAGTCGTTATTGAAGTGTATAATTATAGCCAACTTAATAAAAACACTCGTAAAAGGAATGTTAAGATATCCATGTTGCTATTCTTTTTCTTTCTAAGGTTTCACTTCATCCAAAAATTGTACAATTCACTATATTTACTTATCACCCAATCACAGCTTACTACACATTACGGTGCCATCAGTCCTCGGTAAATGAAATCGGTTCTCAGTTAGATGTAAACATAGCGCGCATGCAACGACGACAGCAGACAGGGATGTGTAAAACGGAGCAGACGAATGTTAGCGCAAGCGTTGACGTCACCTTTCCATTTCATTTTATGAAGAAATAGATTTTTCAAAAGCAATAATGGTGGTGGGGGGTTTATTGTATCGAGGGAGAAACGCAGACAATTCGTTAAGTAGAGGTTAAATTCGCTATGTAGAGGTTCTGACAATGATAAATTCGTTATATTGAGGTGTCTTATTTTAGCCGGGATCATGAAAAATTCGTTAAATCAAGGTCGTTGATATGGATTGTTCGTTATGTAGAGGTAAAATATACATTGTGTCTTATGGAGAGTTCTAGGGGATTTAAAAAAGTTCGTTATATCAAGGAATTCGTTATATCGAGGTTCGTTATATCAAGGTTAGACTGTATTTGGTTAAACGAGGTTTAAAATTACTGCATTAACGGGAAAAAAATTGTAAACGACCTCTACATAAACCGTACAGAACTATCAATAAAATTTTCTTCAGCTGTTCCATTAGGATGAGAAATCTACTAAGGGAGTATATTTTATCTATGATCTCTCTTTTAGAGCCTTTACTGTTGTACTCATCTGGTAGGCTAGCTATTTAATAGAAAATAAGTTAAATCATTTTCAAAAGTTTTTCACCCAAATAGTGCCTGCTGGTTTTTTAAGGTAATTTTGATAATCCGCATAACTTTGTGATACGGATCGGGTCTGGTCCCAACTAATCTTGATTATCGACGTTTTACTGTACAGGCATATTCTTTTTTGATAAGCTATAGGTACATCTGGAGTCTCTAGTACTTCTCTTCAATGGTATGCTTTTGTCTAAATCTAAATTCTAATTTTAATCAAAGCATCTGTTTCAGGAACAACATGACTGAAGACACTGTTAGCAAGAAGGCTCCGAAGAGGGCAGCTGCTGAAGAGATGGAGGTGGAAGTGGTTAACGGCATCGAAGGTCAAGCACCGCGCAGCAAACCTGCAGCCAAGAAGACAAAACAGCAGCCAAGCTCAGAAGTCCGCAAGGTCCCTGTGCCAGCTCATAGGTACACCCCTCTGAAGGAAAACTGGATGAAGATATTCACACCGATCGTAGAACATCTCAAACTCCAAGTCCGTTTTAATCTGCGTACCAGGAACGTGGAGATACGCAACTGCCCTAACACAGAAGATATCGGCAACTTACAGAAAGCTGCTGACTTTGTAAAAGCTTTTATTTACGGATTTGAGGTAGAAGATGCTCTTGCTTTGTTGAGATTGGATAATTTATTCATAGAGTCTTTTGAAATCAAAGACGTTAAAACTTTGAGAGGCGACCATTTGTCGCGAGCCATTGGCCGACTGGCGGGTAAGGGAGGAAGGACAAAGTTTACCATTGAAAATATCACTAAAACTCGAATTGTTCTGGCCGATTCAAAAATTCATATTTTGGGTTCGTACCAAAATATTCAGGTTGCAATGAAAGCAGTTTGTAACCTGATTCTGGGCAGTCCGCCCTCCAAAGTTTATGGACAGTTGAGGAATGTGGCAACGAGAATGTCTGAACGATTGTAAAATAAAATCTATTTTATTATATAGTTAGAATTTTATATTTCCTTCATTACTACTTAACAGCTTCTCCTGATAAAAAATATTTTGTTTTATTAGGTTTAATCTTTTGCACAAAGTGATTTAGTTATTTTGATTATGATACACAATTGTACACTTACCCAGAATATGACATAGAACAACTGTCTCTAAACTAAGTTATTTGTTTGGTAGTTGCCTTTAGTTCTTGAAGATTACTTTTCCTTAATGCACATTTCACCACAGGTTGTGGTACCCTCAGAGGTCACTATGAAGATGAAACAGGGTAACCTACATTATAAAAAAACTGTCTTTAGCAGTGTAACCTATAGCATCTAACGAGTAATACTTTATGCACCCTCGACACTGTACCAATCATTCGTGATTTAAAAGCATTTGTTTGGTTAGGTGTCCAAGTTTGTGTTAGGATAAAACATTCAATGGCGTATAGGGGTACAAGTCTCATAGGCTAGCTAGTGCTAGGAGTGATTGCAGTGATAAGATGATGCGGGCTAGACTAGCAAATGAGACTTCAACCCCAGACCCAATCTTTTTTGGTGTTACAAACAATAAATGCAGTAAGGTAAAAATATGTTAAGAATTCTGGTCAACACCTGATATCAATTTTATCATGAGTTATTGAACTTGATTGTAGATAGTTTTAAATTTAGATTTTATTATTGTTAGTTATGAATGATGAAATACTGTATTTAATCTTAAGTAATTTACTTAAAATCTTTTTCTTGGGAAATAGGAGAGTTAACTTGGACTCTGCTCATCCAATTGTTTTCTGAGTTTAACACTTGAAAATATTATGCAGTGTTTGCTGCACACCTCCACCTTTAGCAGAACAATTTAGAGGTTGGTGCCGACTCTTCATACAAATCTTGTGATGTTAGATCATACCAATATACCGTTTCTTGAACACTTCTTCTGGTTCTTGTTGCCATTCTATTTATCGTTCTATGGTTTCTTTCAACGATTCCATTGGCGGTTGGACGGTTCACACACCTAAAACGACGGATAACCCCACATTCCTCACACATTTGTTAACATCTGAATGTTGCTACTGTCCCATTACATAATAGTTCTTGGGGTAGACCTCAATCTGAAAATAATTCAAGTAAAATTTTTATTACCTATTCTTTAGTCTCACTTGGTATCTGTCGCCAAATGCAAAACCGACTCGGACCACAATCTATGATTGTAAGAAATTGATATTACACATAGTGAGTCACATTATCGCAATCCAAGTGTCCAGGCTTCCATTTGATGGGAAGCCGATAAACATTCTTTTCATTATTTCACCAACCAGTCAATGTCCTGTTTGCCAAACTCAGCGTCCGGGTAACAACGTCTGATGGGGAAAGAGTCTGATTAATGTTATAAAATACTATTGTTACAAGTTAAATAGAATGAAATGAAAAGAATACTTTACTTGAAGAAACTTTTATGATGTACTATATTGCACTTATTTACAGAATAATTAATGAACAACAGAAAACCATATGTAAAACAAAAACATTTGAATTCTCATAAGGAAGTCAAAGAGTACCAAATATAATAAACATAGTCATATAGTTATTATATGGAACACTCCCCCTACTCAAGGCTCCCTTAGAGACTTCATAGGAACGTTAAGCCAGTACAATTTTCTGTCTTAAAACCTTCAACCTTGGTCCAAGAAGATGTTTTGTAAACAAATCAGCTAGTTGTTCACTTGTGTCAGTTTTCTTCACTTCAAGGTTTCCTGCTGTCACTTGTTCTCGAATGAAAAAGTGTTTGGTTCATAATGTGCGTTCCCCATAACGGCACTCATCACAAAATCTTCAAAACGAATGGGCTGCCTTGCCATAGCTCTATCTCGGAGTTGGCAAGTTTGCACAACGGTTTCTTCATGTTGTTCTGCTTCCTCGTCTGTCAATTTATCATCTTCCGATTCATCTTCAGGAAAAGGAATGGGAACATTTTCTACTACAGGGGCTGAACAGTTCTCATCTTTTGCTTCATCGGGGACTTTTTCTTCTGAAGATATAGGCCTATTTACTATGGATTCACTTATAGGCTCTTTCAAAAATTTTACATCCCTGGACCGAATGACAGTAAATTTTCATGAATTCCAGAGACGATATCCATCATTACCATTATATCCAATAAGTTTGCATTTCATTGCTTTCTTGTCAAACTTACGTCTTCTCTGCTTTGGAACATGGACAAAACAATCTGTCCCGATAACTCGTAAGTGTTCTATCGTAGGTCTTTTTCCAAACCATGATTCATATGGAGTCTTTCCGGCAACTGATGACTTAGCAGTTCTGTTCAAAATATAGGCTGCGGTGTTTATCAATTCAGCCCACAAGCCTTGAGGCAGATCACCGTGAGCATGCATCATTGACCTTGCACATTCAACTATGGTCCGATTTTCTCTCTCTGCAGATCCATTCTGTTGTGGTGTGTATGGCGTGATCAACTGTTGTATTCCATTCACTTGAAGGACTTGTCTAATACTTTCATTGTCGAATTCACCTCCTCCATCACATCTCAACTTACATATTACATGGCCTGTGACTTTGACTTCTGCAAGAAACTGCTTCAGCTTCTCTACAACTTGAGATTTTGTCTTCATAAAATAAACACTGCGGTAGCGAGTCAAGTCATCCTTGAACAATACAAAGTACTTTGAACCTCCAATCGACTCAAAGAAAGGTCCACAAACATCAGAGTGAACGATTTCACCAGGTACTGAAGCTCTGTGTTCATCTCTGCTTCTGAATTGTGTCCTGTGCATTTTCCCATAAGCACATCCTTCACATACCTCATTGTCAAGCTTGAGATTAAGGTTCAGTTCTCTTCTTGCAAACTCTTGTACATGAGTGCTTTGATGTCCTAGTCGTTCATGAAGTAACTGCAACTGATTAACAGCTGGAACTCCTTCCATAACAGCCATGAGGTCTACTGATTTTCTTACTGCTAATTTCAACAAGCCTCCGCCTTGACTTCTATGTCCTTTGATGAGTAGTTTACCATTTCTATAAAATAAAGAGCAATCCTTGGATGTCGATACAAATTTACTATTTACATTTAAATCTTGAGCAGCGGTTACTGAAAATAGGTTTGCGAAGATACCAGGTACATACCATACATTGGTTAGTTTTACTGAATTCCAAATACCATCCAAATTTGCTTCCATGCAAATTGTTCCTCTACCAATAGCACTTGTCTGTTGTCCATTTGCCATTGTAACTGCATGAGGTAACTCAAATTGTTCAAAGTCAGTAAACATTTCCCTACAATGTGTAACATGGTTGGTAGCACCACTGTCCACGTACCAATCATGTGATGCGGTAGTATTCTGGGTTTGAAAAACACAATTGCTTAATATGGTTAGTGCTGCTTGTTTGGATTCTTTTTCCAAGCTTTTCTTTTCATGTTTTCTTTCAGGTTTTCCATCCGCTATCCATTTCTGACACTCTTGCAACCAATGTCCTTTCTTGTGACAATAGTGGCATGGAAACTTTTTCTTTTTATCATTGTTCTTGCTGTTTTTCTGTCGACCTACTAAGTTACCTTTGGCTTCTTTAGATCTATTGACCGCCATTAAAGCTGTATCTTCTTTCTCTTTTTCCTTTGAGGTCAACTTTCTTGCTTCTGTACACACTACACAGCCAATTTGTAAGATTGTCAAGGTTTCTCGCTTTATCCTTATGAATCATTAACCAAGTTGTCTGAAAGTTGGAATATTCTGCTAGGATTTCAAAAATCTTGCAAATCAACAATATCTGAGGTAAACTATCTTCTTTCTTGTCTTGAATTTTCTTAATTTCTTCTTGAAGCTTTACCCATAAAGACTTGATTGCAGATAGGTTCCCAGCCATATCCAAGTGTTGATCCCATTTGTAGGTGAAGAACAGAGAGCATATATCATAGGCTTTATTTTCCTCTATTTCCGCAAATAGATTATGCAGCTCCTTCCAAACCTCATCTGGTTTTTCTAGGTTTCTTACCTGAGCTCTTACTTCCTTACTTAATGAAGATGCTAACATAAACATTACTTCTGACTGTGTTTTGTTATACTTATCCATCTTCATTTTGCATTCTTTCATTTCTGCAGCTTGTGTTTCATCTTTAGGTTTCTCTGGCAATTCCATTTTACCAGAAATGGCTTCGTATGCATCTGGGATTCCTTTAAGCCTAATTTGCATAAGATATTTCCAATCATCCCAGTTGTCCTTTCCATGCAGCAATTCCATTTTCTGCATAACGAATTCCATACTAAAGATTTTATCTCAAGCAATAAATTATTCTATTTAAAACCTGTAACACACAATATAAGGGTGTCTGGGCCCATAACCTGTTATAAAATACTATTGTTACAAGTTAAATAGAATGAAATGAAAAGAATACTTTACTTGAAGAAACTTTTATGATGTACTATATTGCACTTATTTACAGAATAATTAATGAACAACAGAAAACCATATTGATATATCTTCATAAAATATACAAAATACACGTAAATTAGTTGGTAAAACTTTATTCTAGAACTAATTCAATTCAAAAGATAAATGTAAACAATAACAAATAAAAACAACAATAATAATCTGATTATTTAAGCATATGACAATCCTCCCCCCTATTAAGCTGCTCTTAGTTGGTCGCAGTGTCTCTTAAATAACCGCCCGTCTTCTGATTTAACGAGGTACATCACATGCCCAAGCGGCCTTTCGATTGTTCCTGTTGACCACTTTTCTCCTGAGACGTTTGAGTAATTTCTCATCAATACACCTTGTCCCTTTGAGAAACTTCTTCTAGTTATAACTTGACTTTTATTTTGCGGGGTAGGTTTAGTCTCAACCATTAAGTCCATTTCGGTTCTTATGTTTCTTCCAAACATAAGCAAGTATGGAGATTGTCCTGTCGCCGAATGGCGTGTCTTCCTCAGCTGTTTCAGTATCATGTTTATCTTATCCTCATTGTGTCCTCCCCCACAAGCATGTAAGAGGTTCTTC